TGTTTGACTTGCAAAGAGCAGCAACATCTCTCTTATTTGAATCAATAGAGCATTCCGCCTTTCGGCTCATCCTAGTCTTGATGTTCTCAGATATCGTCACCCGCTCTCGAAGCTTATACGTCCAGGCAAATGCAACATAGTAGAGCAGTGACGTTGCATTGAGCTAGGCCCGATCATGATAGTGACTTGAGTTGAAAATGGCTGGCTTCTTCGGCTTGGCTAGGTAAGTTGGCCCCAGACAATGCGATGTTGCCTTTCGGATGCGACCCGTATCGGAAGAGGGCTTGTCTAGTCAATGACTACTATTTCGACAATTTCCATTTTGCAATCCAAGGAAAAAGCATGCATATTCTCATATTATCCACTCCACTTCGGATGAAAAGTACGCGCATACGGCGCCGACGATATTGTGCCACCTTGAGGCTCTTGAATGACATCTCAAATGTGCCCCTCCATATACGGGCTAGTTCCTGTAAAATGAGGTCAGTGCCAACAGTGGACTAAAGCCGAGCCGAGATCCTTCCCCAGACCTCCTGCGCCCGCCAAAACTCCACGTACACCTGTTCATTGGGAGCTGTCAACGCAATGGCAGACTTCGTCAAGGGTCTCTTCGGGGGGCAGAAGCCTATGCCTGCCCCAGCTGCTGGTGATGATGGTATGTAGCCCCCACGCTGCCCGCACAATGGCACGCCCAGCCATTACGGCAACACAACAACATATGCGCACGCTGCTAACAACACCAGACTTTGCCGACTATGCCGGTGCTCCTGATCCCAAGCCGGCAGCCATCTCGCCTGTTACGACTCTCACCGGCGCAGCGCAGGCGGCTCCCACATCCATCGGCGCGAACCGACCGTATACAGCATGGTACCGCGTGTGGGAGCGCACAAGCATAGATGATTTCCAGCTGGAGATGTATATCCTGCCCTTCCTCTTCCTCCTTGTTGCTTTCCATCTCTGGGGCACCAACCGCAACCGAAGCAAAGCGAAGACATGGATCAAGGCACACGCCCCTGTTCTGACGCAGGAATTTGCCCAGGTCGGCTATACGCGCCCGCAATCTGAGCAGTCTGTTACGGATGTCGATAGCCTGCTCAAGGAGAAGGCTGCCGATGAGTTCCAGACCTACGCGACCGGACGCCAGAACGTAGCTTTCGTCGATTTCAGGCTTTCGTTCTCCAAGGGCTACAACCCCTTTATGTGGCTGGGAGACCATATGCTTCCTCTCTTCTTTGAGAGCTTTCCTCCTCCTGTCGAGCGTATTGGGGCCACGGCATACGTATTCGATGGCCGTGAGACCAAGATTGCTCCGTCATACGGCCAGGGCGATGCCAAGAAGGTTTCCAACAGCACTTTTGATGGCTTTGTCTTTGCCGTCGTGCACAAGGATATGATGAAGCGCATGCGTGAGGACCGGTACGACTTGTCTCTGACTACAACCCGCGATCACGCCAAGTTGCCAGTATGGACCACTGTCATGAGCGAGAGCGCCGAGGTTACGGATATGCTGCTCACCCCCGAGCTCATCAAGGCCATTGAGCAGGCTGGAGACAACTTTGAGGCTATTATCGTTACCGACCAGCCGATTGATGCGCCTAAGACGTAAGTTTATAGCGGTTCATATATGAACAAAACTAACACGACACAGCCTCGACGAAACCAAGCCTCGCAAGCGTATTCACCTCTCACTCAAGTACTCATCCGACTACACAAACACCATGCCCCTGTTCCAGTACTTCCTCCGCCTCCCCGATTTCTTGGCTACATCTGCCCACTTCCGTCCCGAAGCGCTCCGCCGCATCAAGCAGACGCGCGATGAGCAAATTGCAAAGATCCGCAAGGCCGAGGATGAGGAGAAGGCTGAGGAGCGCAAGATCGCTCTGGACAAGCTGAAGAAGGAGCAGCGCGACGCTAAGCTGGGCCGCTTGAGCGCCGAGGAGCAGCGCAAGTTTTTGGAGAAGGAGCGCGAGAAGAATGCCAGGAAGGGAATGAAGAGGAGTACGGTCAAGGCTTAGAAGGGCTTGCCTGGGAGATAGTGGGGGTGGAGGGGGGGTTGGGAAAAGATAATGCGGATGGGATGGATGGCATTTACGATTAGGTCATGTTGGAATGGATGGAATATGCATGTTGTGGTTCAAGATGTATAAGTTATAGCTCCTTCTGCGTTCTGGGGGGTTCTGTATGAAAAAATTGTGGCGAGGGTGATACCGAAGTCATTAATTGAAACACTTTTTTTTGCAAGCTAGGTTTGATTCGTATATGTAAAGACAGTGGTGATGGATGTAAATTGCCAATGTAGATGAACTTACTATGCGTAATGCTTTGTCTGGTGTTGAGTACAGAGTCTCATGGATATATGCCGAACGGCTGCAAATAATGTCAAGCCACGAGTTCTACTATAGCAGGGTATGACTAACCTTCATCTTCACCCCGCACCGTACGGGGGTGAGACAGCTGGAATATCTGAAGGCTAGAATCGTAGATAGGGGGTTAAACTGGATAGACTTTTTTTTTTAAAAAAAAATCTCACAAACTGGGATCATGTTTGTTAATGTGTATACGAGGTCGGTGATTTTATTTACTCAAGATTTGGATTTAATAGACTTCGTCCGAGGGGTTATAGGTAGGCCTGTGTATTGGCGTAATGCTATGAGGGTGGTGCTACTTGGGGAGATTTGTATTTGTGATGTAGAAGTTTGTTGAAGAATAACATTTTTTTATGACTTGTACGAATTTTCGATGCTGAGTTTTACCAGTAGGTAAGGTCTCATAATGCTGGGGCGAGGCGGGATTCGGTGTCATGTTCAGAAAAAGGTAGCTCTCCTAAAGACTTGAGTTTGGTCGATGGGTGGTTTTTTTTGTGGTTCGTCTCTCTTTTTTTTGCATATATTTGACTGCTTCTTTTGTTAAGTAGGAAGTAGGGAGAAGTGGATGGATAGAGTGGTTTGCTTGGGTCTAGAAGTATATATCTGACTTTTGTTCAGAATACTAAGTGTTTTAGCTAAGATATTGTAGATATTTTCGAGTAAAAGAAAGGTGGATATCTAGGTAATCTGGAATATCTGGTGGAAATTCTTTTTCTTCATAGAGATTAATGATAGGAACTAGTTCAACTGATATGTCTACTTTCATACATTTTTTCCCCTAGAAAGCAGTAATGGTGACTATTGAAACCGTCGTATTTACTATTACCACTTCTTCTTTTTCTATACCTATTTTCTCGTTTTTAGGTATAGAAGAACAGTGAGATTTATAAAGAGTTTAGTAAATCTAGTGTCATGGATTTAATGTTAAGTTCTTTAGATAGCCTGTATAGTGTAGGATAGATAGGGAAATAGTATTTGTCTCATTAGCAATGAGGGAGGGAAATATCTCTTCGGTGAGGGCTTAATGTATAGGTATATCGCGGAGTAAAAGTTTTATGAATTTAGATTAGTTATTTTTTAAGATTTTTCTATGAGAAAAGGGAGGTAGTATGAATCAAGACTACAATGAACAAGGACATAAGAGATAGCTGGCTAGTTTTCGGGATATAGGAATGAGGAGCTTAGTTTATAATTATTTTGTAGAAGGCGATGTAATTGTTGTATATAGGAACTTGTTATGTTGTCTGTACTTCACGTGAGGATACATATAAGTGTATAACAAATATCAATATTTCCCCTATGGTGTAGATATATCTTCTTAGTGTCCAGTATTTAGTAATGTCCTTGCTGAATTAAATTTAATCAACTTTTATAGTGCATTGCCAGATGTGGACTGTTTCTAAAAAAAAATTAAGAGCTTGTAGAATATCGATATTGATGCTCTGGTACCTACCACTCAGGCGTATGAAAATGCCCTTGAACTAGCCCATCTTTCGTAGGAGCACATAGAATACACAATTTTTTTGTCGAGATTTGTTCTGCTATATCGACAAGGCAAGATATTCCCATAGTTTGGATTACTCTTCTTTACACCAATGATTTTATTGATCGACATTTCTTTGGTAACCCCGCCTAATGGTCAAGAGCACTATTGACGAACGAGTTCCATGGATGACCTACAAGACAGCACTCAACAAAAGATTGACTCGTTCTTCGACTTTTCCGTGGGTTGTTTAGTCAACAAACGTTGATTGCATCTGCAGCTAAATTCATACAACAACTTTCTACGGGCTCGAATGGGGATTCTTCCAACTACACTAATGCAACAAAATGCGCCCGGGTGTTACAAGATGAGGCGACGCCTCGCAGGTCATGTAAACTAGTGCAAGATGATAAGCGTGCTTAGATGTTGATTAGTTGGTAAGCAGCCCATATATGGCACTATTGCTTTGTTGTTCCGGGGAAGTTGGAGGGTGCGGTGCGGTGCGGCGGGACTAGAGAGCTTGGTGCAGGGTAGCTTCCAGGTCTTGCAGTCTGCTCTTGCTCCCACCGGATAGCCGAGACACACAATACTACTGCGGGCAAGGCAACTCATCACCCACCATCTGCAAACACATCAACAAACACACGGCTAAACAAACAAACAAACAAACACAGTACGACTCAGAAGCGCCGATTCATCTATACGAGATCGATGTCGAGACCTGATACACGGGCCTTCGGTAAGCCGAGCAGTCCGGCCAGGGGGCGCTGCTCTTTGGACGGCGTTGGGGGACACGGCGGCTCCTCAAGATTACCGTCCCAGGATGGCCTGTCGCCTCACTAAAAAGAAAGGTGACAACGCAGGCAGAGAAACCGGTTTTTCTGTGACGAGCAGTCGGAGAAATGGAGATTTTTGGAGCAAAGAGGCGGACTTCTAACATGTCGTCGCAGCACGGCCATGGGGAACCCTGCCTGGTGGGCTGTCGACATGTCAGTTCACGACAGCATGGTGGGATGCGGGCAATAACGGGAAGAGCATGGCAGACATGAGCGACAGTGGCAGAGAGGACAATTGGGCAGGCGGGCAGAACGGTCCACTGTGATGAAACTGGAGGTGCCGCGCGTGCTGCATGTCAGGGCTGGGCGCACACCATGGGGGAACGATGGATGATGCGGCCATGGAGAACCACGGTTCGTTGGACTGGGAGCTGTTTGTTGACACCCAGCACCAACAGACACACACACACACGCACACGGACACGGGACAAGCGAGGGAGCTGAGCAGAGCTTTTCACGTGATAGTCCGGAGGATCCGTGATCAACAGCAAGCCACGGAGCTTGGGCGCTGCAGCTTGGGCGCGCCGGCAGCCAATGATGACGCGCCAAAAAGTGGGAGGCTGGGGAGAGGCTGGAGCTATGCAGAGCTGGCTGCGGTGCAACATGGACAGGCTCAGCTGAAAATGGCGCGTATGTGCGCATTATCGACGACATGACGCATGGCAGAGGCTGGGCGGGCTCCAATTGCAAATGCACACGCAATACAAGACCGCCCGGCCCTCGTGTGGTGGTCTGTTGGCGGCAATGGTCAATGGCGCTTCAGCCAGGTCGGGGAAGCTCCCGGCAGCCCTGTGGAGCAGCGCGTCGATGGAGAGTAGCGATTGCGACACCTTGGGATACCTTGGGCCATGCATCGCCGGGCCAACAGCCGTAGATGGGATAATGGCGCGTCAGCAATTGCCTCGGTGCCAAAAGGGCCGTCAATTGATGGATGCCAGGCGTCTGTCCGCCCACGGCACAGGCAAGAAAGGGGATACTGCTACGCGCTAGTGCCCGGCGTAAACAAGACCTTTCCGCTCTTGGACAGCTCTGCAAGAGCTTCCCAGCCTCCACAACCCTGCGGAGACGAGACGGCACACCCAGCAGAGGCCTAACTGACCGCCAATCTACTTGATCCCCTCGTCGGTTTTCCTGACTCCATCTCTCCTCCACCACTACGACACCCCGCTTACTGCATCCAATTGCGCATCTTCAAGCTGCTGCACGTCAACACCACAAAGCTGGCGCCCCCCGAGTAAAATCGCCCATCACCAATTTCTCTCCACGTGAGACCTTAAAAAGGAGCCAAGAAGTTCTTTCTTGATTCCTTTCGAATTGTTTTCGAACGGTTCGAAGGGTTTTCAAGCAAGAACGACCAGACTCCGTCAAACTGGATTTTGAAGCACGAGTACGCCGTTTTCCCCGCGCCCTAGACTTGAATAAATAAGGAATTGTGCTAATTCGAGGCAGGTTCCGATCCCCTTCAGTGTCTTCCCGTCTGCGTATCGGAACGCGGAAGTTAAGGACTCTACCAGTGTTCAGGTAGAACAAGAAGCACATCTTGAATACCAGGCTTCACACGGACGGGAAGGTCACGAAGAAATCCACGAATCCTTCTCCGCTACCGTCCATCGGCCACATCCTCCTCCTCCCAAATCGACCACCTCGTCTTCATCTTCTTCTTCTTCATCGTCATCATCCTCGTCGTCTTCTTCCTCTCGCTCTAAGCGTCGCCACGACACTCAGGTCAAGGAAGAGGTTCGCATCTACGAACAAGAGCGAATCCGCCGTTCCCAGCCTGCTCAGTCCCAGCACGCTCATTCGCAGCACGCTCATTCGCAGCACGCTCAGTCGCAGCACTATCAAGAGTCGACTCACCAGCACGTCCACGCTCAGCAGCAGCCTGTTCAGCACCGTGAAGAGGTTCATATCCACGAGCACACCCGCTACGCTCAGCCTCAAGCCCCTGCCCCAGCTCAAGCCCAGCCCCAGCAGCAACGCGCTCAGTCGTACGCCCAGTCGCACGCTCCGTCGCACGCTCAATCACACGCGCAGTCGCACGTTCAGTCGCACGTTCACTCTCACGCCGCTCAATCTCACGCCCAGCCTCACCCTGAGCAAGCTCAGCACGCCCAGCGTACGGACCGTGTAGAGTTTGAACGATCCCACGACCGGTAAGTAAGCTCCATTGTTTTGCCAGCGCATCTTCGCACGGATCATCACAACAGACCAGCCCCCTGACGCTAGCGGCACCCAGCCCCCTCGCCACGCTAGCCTCATTAGTTTGTTGTTGTCCTAGCGACATGCAGTCCCCACTTTTCCCTCACCTCCTCTAAGCTCTTCCTTGCCCAACCCCAAGCTGACCTTCCTTTCTTCCTTCAGCTACCAATCCCAACCTCCTCCTTCCTCTTCACACTCAAAAGTCGAGGTCCAGGACACAACCTACGACAGACACTTCAACACTGTTCACGGCCCTGCCACCACCGTCACTCAATCCCAACTCGACGTTACTGAACGTCAGTTCCGTGAACGTACCCGACCCATCGTCGCCGGTGCTAGCTACTCCAAGGAGACCTACACCACCCAACGCGGTACCTATCCCAACAACAGGAAGGTAGACAGTGTTGATTCCCATCAAACCGAGGTCCGAGTAGAAGAATCTGCTCGTTCCGCTGCTGCACCCCCCAAGAAGTTCAAGCGTGATATGGGATATTACGACAACGAGGGCAAGTACCATTCGTTTCGTCAAGGAATCTCCAACGCCGCACACAAGGTAGCCGACCGCGTTCAGCACCCCATCCACCCTCACCGCCACCACCACTCTCACGAGCACTCTTTCGCCGGAGCCAAGTACGACGACCAACGCGAGGAGGTTATCGTTAAGGAGAAGTTCACCACCACTGCTCCTACTGTTGCCCCTGCCCACCCCGTCCACTCCGGAACCCCTGTAGAGCGTGTCGTTCGCGTCCACTCTTCAATCCCTCCCCCAGCCCCCAGGTCCGTCTCTGTCGCACCTGCTCCCGCCCCCAAGTCTATCGCAACCGCGCCAGTCCCAGCTCGCTCAGTCCGCAAGATGTCTACCGCAAGCACCATCACCATCCCCTGCCACCACATCCGCATTGGCGATCTCCTGATCCTTCAGGGCCGCCCTTGCCAGGTCATCCGCATCACCACCTCCTCCCAGACTGGCCAGCACCGCTACCTCGGTGTTGACCTCTTCACCAAGCAGCTCCATGAGGAGTCTAGCTTCATCTCCAACCCTGCCCCCTCTGTCGTTGTCCAGAACATGCTTGGTCCTGTCTTCAAGCAGTACCGTGTTCTCGACATCCGCGAGGACGGTCGCGTCGTCGCCATGACCGAGGGTGGTGATGTCAAGCAGGGTCTTCCCGTCCTTGACCAGTCTGGTCTCCTCTCCCGCTTGACAGAGGCCTTTGACAACGGCCGTGGCAGCGTCCGCATCCTCGTCATCAACGACGATGGTATGGAGATGGCTGTTGACTACAAGGTTGTCCACGGCTCCAGGCTGTAGATGGTTTCACTCAACGGTATGTCTTTCCATCAATGCCTCTTACCTTCATGTCGTCTAACACTTACTCAGGTCTTATCCAAACGTTCTCTAATCAATCCTTCTTGGGCGTTTGTATCCTCATGACCACTATGTCTTATAAATGTGTTCATAACTTTTGCATGCTTGCTTAGCTGGGTAGCATTGGGCTTGCTCTTTGGTCATCTGTCGCTGCCCCGGCGCTTCAGTTGGTTAGGGGTGTAAGTGCATACCTACCTTGGTTAGGTGATGAATTTATCGGTGCTACGTGTGTGTGGATAGTTAATGAATTGCGTCTCCTTTACAACCTTTGCCATTGTTTGCCTTGTGACTTTTTGACATGTTCTCTTCCCTTGTACGCGCTCGTGTTTTGTTGTTGTTCACGCCCCTGGCTTCCATGGCCATAGCTTCCTGCACGCGCCCGTGTCGCTTAGTACCCCACGTTTTTTTGGGTAGGTCTCCACCAGTTTTGCGACAACGTGGACACGCAAACGGGTACCCGCTGTCGTGCATAATAGGGCCAAACTCCTACCCCTCCTCGCCTATGTACGAAGGACCAAAAAAAACCTTGTTTATGAACATGGGGTGGGGGTTTGCTTCATGTACGATAGGCAATGTGGGAAGGTTTGCCTTTTGCTTTGGTCTTGGCTACAAATACAAACAATCCTTCATCACTTTGACGAACTTTTTTTGTTTTTTCTTTCTTAAACAAGGAAAAGAATAAAAACAGCATGTAACAAGTAAGAGAGAGAGAGAGAGAGAGAGAGAGTTTCACAAGTAGTAGTAGTAGTAGTAGTAGTAGTAGTAGTAGTAGTTAAACCTCACATCTCTCCTTTTTTGTTGTTGTTGTTGCCCAAAATAAGTCTGATTTATGAGTGACAAAAAAACTTGAAAAAAACTCGTGTGTTATGGAAGAGATGGAGTTTAAGTGATTGAGTACAAAATGAGTTTATTCGTTGTCTTGTTCTCTTGAGAGTGTGGGGGGAGGGGGGGGGAATCTATTGTATGACAACGGTTGTGGGTTCGTAATGCATGGGTCCTTTGTACTGTTTTCTATGTATGTAATTCTTACATGTCTTCTAAAAAAGGAAGGGGAGGGTTTGAAAAAAAGAGAGAGAGAGAGAGAATATAGTAGGTTAAGACATGGGATATCTCAGAAAAATCTTTTTTTTCCCTCTTTCTTTTGAAAGTATATCGAATGGCATGGGGGAAAGGGAGAGAGAGAGAGAGAGAGAGAGAGAGACGTCTGTCTAACTTTAGAACCTTAAAAAAAAGTTCTCGATATAACTACCAGAAAAATTTGTTGTGAAAGCAGGATAGCTGAGCTAGTAGTCTTTAAAAAAGTGAGTGCGAGAACTTACTTATGCTTGGTATGTTCGAGATTGGGAGATGCCTTCGTTTCTTTGTATGTTTGTTGTAGGTGGTGTTAGGTTTGAAAGATAAGTAGGTGTGGTGAGGGCTGTGAGAGGTAAAGATGTTATATATGGGATTCTCAGAGGTGGAGTGGGGAGAGCGGTAGATAAGTTGAGGGTAGGAGGGAGAAGAAGTGCTGTTTTCTGCTGGTTATGCTGGGGAGGATGTAGTGTGTTTGGGAGAGCAATGCATTAGAGGTGACTTTCGTGGTTTCAAGGGAAGAATAGATGGGTTGAAAGATGTATGGTGAGGTGGCACGTTTAGTAAATAGGAGAGATATTGGTTTGGGAAGCACAATCAACGGAGACTACTTGTGTTCGATTTCGCTCTTGATACTCGCTTCGTTATCTGCTTCGTCTCGTCTCAACTGGCCTCGTTTTCCATACAAGACATGACAAAACAATATCATATACGTCCACACTCCCCGACCTATCTGGTTAAATCCAGTCAACGATACAGGAAAAATAGCATCAAATCACATCCCAGTACATCACATTCTTCAACTTCACCAACTCAAACAACACTTCACACACGGCATATTCACCAGTGTATCAAAAATAAACACTTTGTTAATTATTTTCCTCCATTGAAAACAGCCAAAAATAGCTCCTCAAGGAATGGACGCTTGTTTTTTTCGCAACGCTTACACGTTCCTTCCCCAGAAAATAGGCATAACATCGTCTACGGATTCCGTAGGGGTACAAAAGAAAAATATACGAGATCACTGGAAAAACACAACCCGCTTACTGGCCCTTTTCAGCCGTGGCCATCAGACTACCAATGAAACTGGTGATAAGTCTGCTCTGTACGGCGACAATGTCGTCTGGTACAAGCCAAATGGTAGCGCCCATCTTTCGTGCAATACTAATGGCCAGTTTAGCGTTCTGGTAGCACTCGTCATCGTTGCGACCGGGAGCAACGAGGTCGTAGTCGACGTATGCAGGCTTCATGCCGGCCAGAACGTCGAGAAGGAAGATGGCGTTGCTGAGAGAGGAGTCCTTGAAAGAGCGGATCTGACTGTTCTTGCCGCCCTTCCTGGCCATGTCGTTAGCCCACTTGATCATGTCGGCATCAGCAATTTCACGCTTGCCGAGCTGCTGGGCAAGATCATTGAGAGTGGAAACAATGTCCTTGCGCATCAGCTGCCATACGAGACCCAGGGTAAGTGTGCGCTGGCCGTCGGTGATATCAGCACCCTGGATACCAGGTAGCGAGAACTGGTTCTGCTTGCCAAGCTCGACAGCGTAGTTTGTGTTCTCGAGAGCCTTGAAGCGCATCAGCTCTTGGCCTTCGCGCGGCTTGTTGACGTGTCGCCAGTTCACGCTGTTTGGAATGACCTTGTCGTATGCTTGAAGAATGACGGTACCATCCTTGAGGTCTTCGTAGAAAGATTGCACAACCGGCTTTACGTCGAGGGAGTTGAGCCAGAGAGTGAAGACACGAGCTTCGCGCTCTCCTGTCGCATCGAAGTCGTCAATCTCGGCCTTTTCCTCCTCTGTGATGGGGTCGAGGCAAGGGTGTGTGTTGAACAGATTGGCGACGAAGGCCAAGTTGAGCTTGGGGTTTCCGGCTACAAGCGATTTGGGGGTAAGGAACTTGCGGCATTCGAGGGCATCGGCGTTCTGCAGGACCATCTCAGCACGTTGGAGAAGGTCAGTCTGCTGAAGTGGAGAGCGCGAGCAAATCTCGGGCGCTAGCTGGTTGAGGAGGACGGTGTAGTTCTCGCCATCCTTGACGTCAGTCGAGAAGTTGGTAACACTGCAAATGTCAGCTATTATCGTCATTCAAACAAAGTCTAGTCCGACTTACGTCCTGTGCCACTTGGCGTTCTTCAGGTGATAGTTGAACCACCTCAGCAGAATTTGCTCCGGAGGCAGGCGCAGGAACTGCTCTAGGGTCTCATCGTCCTCCAAAAGCCTGTACAGCTCTGGGTGGAGCTTGATATCGATCTTTCCCAACAGACCTCTCCTGATGATCTGCCAGATGAGACCCAAAATCAAGTGCTCTCGCACTTCGATGATGTCTCCACTACCAATGTTGACAACCGAGCAGCCGATACCCTTGGCTGACTCAATGACAATGTTGTTGTTCTCACTGAAGTGGAAGTTGTTCAGCGCCTTGATCTTCTTGCCCGGCTTATTCAGCACACGCTCATCAATGGTGTCTGGTACGCTGTCGTTGATGAGCTTGGACAGGACTAGACCGTCTTTACAAGCATCGAACATCTCAAAAGTGTCGGTTGGGAAGGGCAAGCGGTCGCCAATATCTGGGTCGCCGGCAAGGACGGCGTTGATATGGCGCGTAAACTCGGTTCGCTCATCCTCGTTGATAGTGTGGGTGACATTGGCAGAGGAGCCCTGAACCTGGATCCTGCCACCACCTAAGCTACCTTTGGAGGCGTGCCCTGGGTTGGAGGGTGAGTTGACGCTTGTAGCAGTGCCGGCTCGTGGGCGGGTTGGGCCGGTAGACATGCGCTGTTGGGCTGGAGATGATACTCGCAATTTGGAGATGAGCTGGGAGGGTTAGGGTTAACATGGCTTTGCAGTGTGGTGTGCAGTTTCATACATCTACGTAATCGTCAAGCTCTACTCTCCTTGAGGAGTCGAGTTCGACCTCTTTCAGGGCTTGTCGTACGACATCGTAAGGCTGGTGCTCCGACTGCTGGGCGGCCTTGATGACTGTGGACTCGTCGAGGTAGCCATTGTCGTCGACATCGAGCTTGCGGAAAGCGTCTTGCAGGCCGAAGATCTCGCCCTGGTCGAACTGGGGATACTTCCTGGTTGCAATGGCATGTTAGCACTGGTGGAAGACGGCGGACGGGCGTGGAAGCGAGGGGGTGTGCGACGTACTTTTGCAGCTTGATGATATTCATGTTTGCAAAGTGCAGAGGAAGAGGTCGGCGGGAGAGTCGGGTGCGGAGCAAAGGGATATACTAGGCGGCAAATTGAGTGCCTGGCTCCGCCTCGTTGCGCGTTTGACCAGTTCGTACCTCTTGTTTTGCTTACCCGATGACGACGTGGAGCGGCTTGCCAAGGCTCATCGTTCGAGGGGCAATGCCTCGCAGCCTGATATTGCGCTGCCGGCTTACGTATGCACGTCACATGTGCAGCCCTGCATTAGGCTGCCGTCGCTGGTACTGTGACTTTGTGTGACTTACTGGTGCTGGCCATGTCCATGCTGAGATTGCTACTTCGTCGTGTCTGCTACGTATGTCTACGCTTACGCCTCACATCCAGAGCGATAGGATGCGAGTCGGCTGCCCTGCCGTCGCCTCACCGGCCAGCCTTTGGGCTTCCATGCTGGGCCGCTCCATGGGCCGCCAGTCCCACGCCCATGAGGCGGTGTCCATTGCCACCTCACCATCACCACCCGCTAGAGCAATGCTTCGGGTCGCACCGTGGGCCGTCTCAACACTGCAGCCGGCGAAGCTTGCACGCCCTGCCCCAAGACAAGCCAGTGTTGCACAGGCAAGCCCAAATCTATGTACCTCGTTGCCCATCGACCAGTGCAGCCCAAGAGCGCACAGACGACACAGCACATACACAAAAGACTTCACTGACACATACACACACACACTTGCCATCAACACAACGCATTAATGTAGAACGAGCTTTTAATTCCCTCATTAACGTCATAAAAAGTCCCGGTCGCCGGCTCATTGAACAAAATAAACACCAAAGCTGTGCATCCTATCCTCCGCCAGAAAGAAAAAAACAATCAACATGGTCCACGGCTACCCCCATATGCTCATGGCAGCTCCACCAGACCACCTAGCCACAAATAAACAAGGCTTGGAAATTTCCCTTCAGAACGTGATGCCCGCCAAAGCAAATATCATCATTGCATAAACATCCATCAAATTCGTCTGCGCCCGCATTTTTTGTCCAACACGGCGTGCCGTTGGTCTTTGAAGCTGAAAGAAGGCCATGAGGGTTCTTTGCCCACGTCGTCCGTCCGTTCCCACCACCACGTATGTCTTTTCAATATTAACCCTCGCGGAAATGGGCCCAGGTCCAAGTGGGGACTCGACTGACGTGGCAATGCCGTGGTCCTCCTCAACATCCCCATGAACTCCCAGCTTGCAAAAGAAACAAAATCCAGGCGACTGTAGAATGTACAAGACTTGCACGTGCTCACGCCCCATGCAAAAGTCGTATATCAAGAGGTTCGCTCGAGCCCCAGGACATAGTGTGTGTTTTGGAACTTTGGGTTCCACGAAGCAAATGGTCGTTAAAGTCGTGAATGCCGAGAGGTGCAGAAAATGTCGAAAATAAGAAAGAAACAGAAAAAAAAGAGATCTCCAAGGAAATGTAGACACAAGGAAATTCGAAAGAGCGAGGTTGGAGTTTTGTACGCAATCTCAACCCGTTCCGTGCTGGTTGAAGAGACGTCTGGCGAGATTGTCGTGGTGGGATGTTGTGATGCTGCTGAAAGAGACCGCTCGCTTGATGCCAGAAAAACGCTGTATATCGAGGCCAATCCGCCTTCTAAGTCATTAAACGGCAACTGGCCACCCGTACAATGCCCAAAGTCTTTCATTACCGCCTGCCGCGCTGGGCTGTCATCGTATGCGCGCGCTGTAGCCCAGGAGTAGGGTCGGCATAGGGTCCGCCAACGGCGCCACCTTCTAGAGTCTTACGACGCTTGAGACCACTCATGTCGTCTCCCTGAACACTGTCGGGGCGGTAGGGATCTTCTTCCTCGTCATCTCGACCACGTTTGCCGGAGTTTACACCGTTAGTGGGAGGATAACCTTGATTGGCGTACTGAGGTACAGCGCCAGGGCCTTGATAGGCATCATGGGTGGCATTGCCATTTGAAGCACCACGCGGATCGCTCATTACATTGTAAAGGTTGCTGGAAGGTGGTGCTTGACGTTGTGGAGTGGGGTAACCCGAGCTCCACTGCGGCTGGCCAGTGGCAGCTGAACGAGGTGTGGCACGTCCAGAGCCGTTTTGGTGAGGAGAGCCAGTCATCTCGGGAGAGAGGTGGGGGTGATCGGGATGCATGGCTCCAGGTGGGCCGTTGGGTTGGTATCCATACGGGCCCCGGTTGCCATTGTAGGAAGCGTTCGAGTGTGTATACTCGTTGCCGTGATCATGCTCGCCTTCAGTACCTTGCGGCGGCGGGGCAACCTGCTCGTGGCTCTGGGGCATCATGCCGTCGGGTTGCTTGACCTCACCCTCGTCGGGTACGTCATTGATGCGAGATGGGGGTGCCATCTCTGTCTTTGGGTACGAGCCATCCTGGCGGTAACCCATCATTGGCTGTCCCTGGGTGTACTGGCCAGGCTGAGAAGGAGGACCAGAGTACATGGGCCGGGAACCATCAAAGCTTTGACCAGATGCATAGGGCATGCCTTGTTGGACAGCGCCTGGAGGCGTACTCGCAGGTGTTGTAGGTACAGAGCGAGCGTTGCTGAGTCCCGTGTCGATGGATAGTGGCTGTCCACCTTGGGGGTTTTGAACGTTGTTGCCGTTCCATTCATAAGAGCTACCCTGGTTGCCCATGCCCATGATGCTCGAAGCGCTGGTGGGAGGAGTAGGGAAAGTATGGGCCCGGTCAATTCCTGGGCGACCAGATGATGGGTGGGGCTGAATGGCGTGCGGGGGCTGAGAAATAGCAGCGCCAATGGGGTTGCTCATCGAATGATGGTGGTGAAGCGACGGAGGCTGCGATGCAGCTGGTCCGGAGAGGTATCGCTGATGAGTCTGCATAGGGTCAGGTCTTCGGTTGCGGTCTACAGCAGCCATGGCAGCGCTCCCTACACTTGACCTCGTCTGATTAGACGGATGATAGAGCAGTGCACCGATGTCATGAACGAACAGAGGGTACAGCTGCTCAGTAATCTTCTCCTTGTTGGCAAACTCGAGGGCTCGCTCAAAGGGAATCCTAAGACATTATAAGCTTATGTAAGATCATCAAACAAAGTGAAGACTAACCAGACACCCTTGAGGTGCATGGGGCCAATCTTGACAACGTGTCGTGTCTTCTCGCTCTTAAGGATGCCATCTCGTCGACCTCGGGTCATGCCGGCGACGTTGAGAAGCTTAGTTCCATTGATCATGTGATTGTCTACAACGTGTCAGTTGGGTCAATTTCCTACAAGAAAAAAAATAATTTCAACTCACCCTCGCGGCGCGCAACACAAACGCCTTTGGCCTCCACTTGGAAGCAAAGACTGCCTTCGTCTTCCCAGAGAGTGGCAGTCACACGAGGCTTCATTCCTGGAGGAGCAACCTGACCAGTGTGGTCAAAGGTCTGTGTCTGGTAGCTCTGAGAGCCTGGTAGTGATGAAGCTGGTGCACCAGATGACATGGCTGAACATGTTAGCCTCGTATCTATGCCATGAAGAGAGGGAGGGAGGGAGGGAGGGGGAAAACTAACCTGGTAGTTGGAGTGTTGAAGGTACCATAGCTTGGTTCATAGATGAAGAAGCTGGAATCTGCGAAGGGACGCCACCAGGGTACCCATATGGCGGGTATCCAGGCGGGCCTTGGTTGTATTGATGTTGAGATTGCATCATTGATGGCTGTGGGGGGTATGAGTAGTGCGACAGCCCCGATGGAGGGGCCGAAGCTGGAGCGTGAGCAGCAGTGGCCATGTGGGATTGATGCACGTCAGCATACGATTGCATCTGGTTCATGCTGTTGTAGCCGCTGGGAGCAAAGCTATATCCCTCCTGGGTGGTGCCAAACGGAGAGCTCTGGACGGACTGCGTGTTCAGAGATTGCGAATCTCGTCTCAGAGACTGGGGAGTATGCTTGGGGGAGGGGGTCTTGAAGCCGGTAGTCTGGCCGTTGACCGACGCAGCGTACGACGTATTGGAACTAGCACTTCCACCGCTCACAGAACCAGAGCTAATGGAATCACCGCGAGGCGATGAGTAGTTTGACGACGAGCTTGGGTGTGACTGAATTTGAGGCAGAGCTGGAAGACGTTCGCCCGAGACGGCAGATTTGGTTGCGTAATGGGATGGGTACCAAGTGTCAGCAGGGCCGCGAGCGTGGACCGACGAGATCGATGGGAGCTCCAGCTTTACGGTATTGACGAGTTCTCGAGTGAGGCTTTGTTGGTGTCCAGGGTTGAGAGGGTTGGCGCAAAGATTCTCGAGTCAGTTGTCCAGAGAGCCGAGCCTGTTGCTGAGAAGGTAAGCACGTGTTCAATGTGATGATTGCCCGCGAGGTGTTGTGGGATGCGGCGAGAGGCTTGACACGGCGAGAGGTTTGACGAAGCGAATAATCTACACCGCAAGTTAGTTGTTTGCTTTGAATGGCGAGGTTGATCGGTTGACTGCAGTGGGGAACCAACGAGACACGGGTAGACGAGGCTACAGACAAGCCAAAGCCTCTACTGGACGCGGAGAAATTTGACGGGTGCAGTGTAGAGAAGCATGATAGCGGGGAGGTCGGTGGGAGGAGGTTTGCGGTCGTGACGGTCGTGGAGGAGGAGGAGTAGGGTGAAGGTGGGTGGAGATACTGACCAGGATGAGTCGGCTGCGAACAGGCGTGACGGGAAAAGGCTATGCGCGCAAGAAGCTGCTGGATCAAGTGAACGCTGCAAACAATGCTGGGGTCTCGAAAAGCTAGTCGTTACGTCGTTGCAGTCGTAAAGCAGGGAAGTGCTGGGTAGTCGACAATGCTTTTGGCGCTCGGTTCAAAACACGCAAAGGGACGAATTGACAAATGCCGGCCTGGAAGAATAGCTGAAGATGTCTGCAAAAGCCACGAACATGTGTTGCGGGGTCGAGCAGAGTGCAGTGTTGTCGTAAACAGTCGTAACGTCGTCGCGCTTCGTTAATGCGGGTCGAGCTGTATCGATAGCGATAGCGGCTGCAAGCGTAGGGAAAAGACTACTGCGCGCACACACGCGTCAGCACTGGTGGACTGGCCGACACTCAAGGGCAGGAGAGCAAGAGAGCTCTGTGCAGGCGGCAAAACGACAGTCTATAGAGGGAAGGGGGGAGGTGGAACAGCCAGAGCGAGCGAAGGGCTTCTTCGCAGACTGCGGTGGGGAGGCGGAGGTATTGAGGCGGAGGTGGTTGGGATGTGCCCTTTGATGCTAGCTAGTGCTGGCCCAACCAGACAAGGCGACCGATAGGCGAGTGCACGGGAAACGCAGGTGGCGAGTCCGGCTAGCAAGAGTCTTGGGGGGGAGGGGAGGGGGGCGGAGCAGCCAGGTGGGCGGAAGGCAGAGAGCAAAGGGCGTATACTCACCACTTCTTCAACGAGCAAACGCGAAGACTGCGAGACAATGGCGAGGGTAGGAGGGTTGTGGTGGGTGTGGAGAAGGAAGTCGTTCTCGTCGGTAATGCTGCAGGATTCTCTGCAGCGCTCGACAGCAGGCAGGCCGCAGCTAAGAGGCAGAGGTGGACAGGCGAGCAGCGCACACGCCGCAGAGCAGTCTGATGCAAAGTGGCCGCTTTCTCTGGAGACGGCGCGTCCAATGCTTTGGACGGGATCAGTGCACGACGGGCGTCGCTGACAAGTTGTTCCGGGTGAGCAGGCTGTCGCTGTAGCTGCGTCGACGGGCCGGAGCGAATTTGCAGCGCCGGCGGCTCCAGCAGCTGGTGATGCAGAAGGGGGGGAAGACGGGTGCGTGGGCAAGAGATGCAGGCGGAGGGCGGTACGGGACAGGCAGGTAGGCAGGCAGGACAGTATTGTACATACAGTGGCTAGAGATGACGGCCGCTGGACGGGAGGTGGAGATGGATGGATGGCCTGGGGATGGGGCGGGACTCGGTGCAGCAATTAGCAGCCAGCAACGACGACAGCAGCATCAATGGATGGATGGATGGATGGCCTGGCCTGGCAGCAATAGCAGCAGCACACATACTTACTGCTGCTGCTGCTTGCTGCTTGCTGCTACGACTACCTACACACAGACACACCACACACCCCGTCCACCACACACACGAGCCGCTGCGAGCACACAATCTAAATTCACATCGGGCTTGGTGGGGACAGCGTGAAGGGCACCATGGCATGGGCATGGACATGGGCATGGATGGGCATGGGCTGGGCTGGGCTGGGCATGGGCCTGCCAGCAGCAACAGCAGCAATCCCGTCAGAGCAGAGCAGAGCAGAACAGAGAGAGGCAGGCCGTTTCGCTCGCTCGCTCGCTCGCCCGCCCGCCGTGCACGGACGGCGGCGGCCATCATGTCGCCTGCGTGCTGACTGGGCTGATCCGCCGACGGTGCGGTTGACACGGGCGCTGGGGTGGAGAGAGGGCTGCTGACAGGGACAGGCCTGCCCGCCCATACCGCGACGATTATGCACGCAAGCGAGCGTAGCACTCGTCTACCACACAATGGCATCCACGGCGGCCACGACAGATCCCATGTACACCAGCAGATCCCTTGGTTCTGCCACTGCGCTGCGCTGGCCGGCCCCCTCCCTCACGCCCACCCACTGCCCTCCAAGACGCGGCCTGGCCCTCGCAGCTCGACCTCCCTCCTCCACCACCCTTCCCCACTCCCACAACGCCCATCCTCTCACGGCCGGCCTGGCGCGCAAGGGTGTCGCGCTCCAAATTTAGCGGGCGCCTACTTTTTCCTCGCCAGCGTCGCTTCCTGAGGCATCGGCTGCCCTCCCGATGGGGATAACACGGCTGAATCCAGCGGCCACTGAGCGCTGCCGGAGATATTCGAACGCGCACCGCGGCCACACTAGGTCAATTGATAGGGAACAGTCGTTGCAACCGCCCGCCTTGACTAAGCGGCGCCGGACCGTGTAATTGCGGAGCGCAGGCCACACACAGGTCCCAACAACTGAAAGTCCGAAAGCGCACAGTTCAAACGTTGGAGCTTCAAATCACCCTACCCGACTGCTACTCGACTCGACTCTCCCTCTGGTCCGTAGTGTACATGCCTCTGTCGGCAGTCGGTGCTGCGCCTTCCGCCCACCTGCTACGTATGATTTGCGCGCCTGCGAGTCAGAGCCAAACATTGCACAATGGCACCAAAAAGCAGACAGCAACAAGAAAAGAAAAAGATGCTTGCTTGCACTGACCTTGACTGCACGCCGCTGCACTGCACTGCCGGACAGCCACGTTCCTTCTGAAACACAATCAACTGCCGCGGCACCCTCATCTGCTGACGATGCTCGTCATCCTCTCCCCTCCCCTCCCTCACCCCTTCCCATAACCACACCACCACCGCTACTGTACATACATGGTGAGACGGAGCAATCTGGCCTGCCCAATTTGCAAAGGCCCTCGTCTCATAGATGGATGTCATTCCCTCCACAGGCTAAATGCCCTCTATCCAGTACTTTGCAGGGATGCGCCCGACAGTGAACGGGATAGACGGACGGTAGGCCGTGCAAGCTAGCCGGCCACCTATCGCTGGGCATTGGCCACGCCCCACGTCATTGGCTGGCTAGTCGACATGCTTGATGGGGGCAGCAGCCAGGCCAGAGGCAGACCAGCGGCCATCTGTTCCCCACGAGGGCATCCACTCGACGGGTCGAGTGGGTATCCACGCCCATGAAGCGAAGCATGTGAAGCGTGTGCAACGTGGAAACTCGACAGTGTACGACGGCCATGTCATGTCAGCGGACAATGGCCACCAGAGGGCCACAGCCGAGCCATCCAGCGCCGCGACTGCAAGCGCCGCGGCACTCGCGTCCATGGCCGCTGGCCCTTGAATGCTCCAAAGCCATCCACTCGACAGCAAAGTCGACTGACAAACGTGCCGACTGTAACACGGGCTTGACGTTGGATGTGGACGCCGCAAGGTTTGATAGGGCGTCCGTTAGTTGCGGTGAGTAGATGCGCTGGCCGTGCTAGCCGCATATGGGTAAGCCAAGCCATGGTCACGCTTTCTCACTTCGCCCTCAACAGCCACCCGCACTACCCACCTCCCAGAGTGCAACTCAATATCCATGGCTGTGTCTCGCACTCGGGATGTCTAGGCCCGGCACCTCGGGCAAGGCGTTGTTGCCGTATCACAAGGCCATTCCTTTCGACCAGCTGAAACAAGAGCCCAGATCATAGCAATACCGACAAGGGCGCCACCATGGGCCACAATGTTCAAAAAAGACGAGCAAGGGCTTTTGCATCCCCGTGCATCACGGGACTCGTAGCACGGCGCACGGGAGAGTCCGCCTCTATCCCTGTTGCAACCATGCGAACGGTGCCAGCCTCGATCCTCTGGAACAAGCAGGCCACGGCCATGCACTCACACACTTTGACAGTTGGCACCTCCTCAGCCCAACTTATCGCCTCAGGCGCCAAACCAAGAGTTCGCATCCGTGTCGTGGCTAGCTGCAACATCATACTACAGCCGTGCCCTTTACTTGCTGCCAACTCTGTGTCGACGTGATGCTTGAGCATGCGCTCACTTCAAAAGTTTGGTCGAGAGCAACATGCTGACCCACGCCGTACCACGACTTGATGGCATCATCAGACAAAACGTGACCGGGGAACCGATGGCATCATTACTTGGTGCCAACTACGGCCGGGGGCTGGGTGGGAAACAGCCAAGTCCAGGAACTCGACTACAGTACCGTAGTACGGTTGGCAGTGTGTGTGTGAGGGGGGCACTAGAGGCAAGAGGTATGACAGAAGCGCTCAAGCGACCCGGGCTGTATCACTGTGTACACACAAAGACTTGCAGTCGAAGAGAGGTGTGGACGATGACCTTTAATGGTCGCAGTCACACGGCGGCCTCGTGGGCTAGGGCGTGTAGCAGATATGCACCGGTGGAAATAAACGTGCAGTGCAGCGCAGCCGGCGCGATGTGGGAGGGAGCGGATCGTGGAGAAAGGCGGGCGTCCGTGTCTACCTCCTACCTGGCACTTGCTACTTGCTACTACTTGCAGTCCCTCCACCTCCACCACCAAGCTGGCCAGAATAGATACTGCAGTTGACCGATGGAAGACGGGGTCCGAGTCAGGCCACTGCATCATCTCAGCACATGACGAAGCTTCTATTTTCCAATACTCTCAGACAGGGTTCATGGCACGGGCGCCCTTGTGTGCTGTAGGAATGTATCAGCCTTTGGTCATCGAGAGCATCGCGTTCTCGTGCAGTGGGGTCTGTGTCCATTCCTGTCCAACTGGCAATAATTAAAGCGCAATCTGGGCTCGGATGTCGCGTACTCACCCCGAATTGGTCTTTGCCACGGCCGCAGTCCACTCTCGCCTGCGCCGCCGCCTGGAGAGACGGCAGAGCCAGCGACGAGGAGCTCAAGGCAAAAAAGGACAGTCGACTAAGCTCTCGCTGCCGCCATCTCTGACCACCTCCATCTCTGCCTCTATCCCGCACCAACGTTCCTGCAGCGTGAGGCAATCCCGCGATGCAGCCACTTGGACTTTGACGGGCTAGAGCTCATATGCAGCGAGCCGCGCCTGCATATGCGTGTGATGTAAGGGAACCCTGCGTGGTGGCAGCTAAGGCGACGCCCCCTCCGCCCTCGACGTCCCCTCCAACCAGCATGCCAATAGCGGACCCGATGGAAGACGCTGGAGCGGGCGTCTTCGCATGCAGTCGCACCGACCCCCTCGCGTCCGCGCTCTACGGCGCACGAGTCGAGCGCAGACGTGGAGCATCCGGCATGGACATGTAAGTATTGTACATGGCAAGAATGGCATTTTTTTCTCCTCTGGCACGCAACGATGCCTCTAAGAAGCAGCTGGATCAGCGGCGCATGCTCGTTCGACTGCTCAGATAGGCGTCGGGGCTGCCAATCACCACCGGCCACGTCAGGAAGCCCAGTAGAGCCGTTATCGGGAAGTGGACGGAGCAGGCTAGCCACGACGGCGCCGTGCAGCTCGTGGGGTGCGATGCGGCCGCGTGATTGGTCGGCTCTCGGCTTCACCGGTCTCGCATACTGCTCGCGTCCACTCCACCTGCTCTTCGACGGCCTCAACAAAGTTCAACAAATAGACAATTCCCAAGTGAGGGGTTCATTGTTCGCTCGAGCTGTTTCCCGCCCTACTGCCAACCCCTTCACCGCTCTTCTCGGCTTTGGTTTTTGTTTTTTTCCAACTCATTCATTGTTCGCGCGAATCTACTACTCTAGGTGTAGAGCACTCTACCCAAACCTTCAATAGTCCATTGACCACGGCTCCGGCACTAGCCCGCTGCGCCTCTCCCTTGCGTCGTGACAAACTGGTCCGGCAACGTCGGCCTCGGTCTACACGCAGCATTATAACGGCTGCCAAAAAAGCATGCGGCCATGTCGCAGCAGCACCAGCAGCAGAGCCGCTTGTCACCAAGCCTTTACATGATCCGCCCGACGTGCTTTACGTGCATCGCCTTGGCGTCCCGCCCCAGCTACAGGGCGTGCTGCAGCCTGGGGGCTATGTCATTTCGATTGCGCCTCCTCCCTTCAGTGCTAATTGTGGCTGACGCAATACTCGATGTTCGTCATGTAGCTTCTTCGAGACGCCCTATATCAGACGACACCGCTGTTCTAAGAACATGTTGTCTGAGCGCAATCGTGCATAGACTGCTTTTGGGTTCGACAGTGTATTTAGCCTGCCGCCGTCTCTATTTGCAACCTCTCAACCATCCACATCAGCCCGTAGACAATGTAATAATGTACATGTCTCGATTCGAATCGCGGTTATGAAAAAAATCGCTCTGAGCATATTGGCACGGCCCAGTATCACATGGCCAGCTCTGCCCCAACGGGTAATTAATTCCTTTGCTCATGAACTCATCCTAGGACGCTTTCTGCGCCGGCTGCCAAGTGACCTTTGCACGCCGAACCGTAATCATGCCATAGCTTGATGACATGGTGCCGTATAGCATGCTTTTTGGAATTCGCTTGACTCGGAACGTCAATGGTTTTTATCCGACAAGGTGGGTATGGGCGGCTGGCTAAATCGCGGCCATCGCTTTACATACGTGCACTCGGGACGATCCATCTGAGCACAATAAATGTTATGGCATCTTGAGGCACTTAGCCCGAAACTCTGCCTTGTAGAGCATCCACTTTTTGTCCTGATGGGAGCTTTTTAGCCTAGTTTGATCATAGCCCAGGCGTGGTCGGTCTTACCTGCGTATCCGAGGGCAAGCAATAACAGGCTCCTGCCGAGATAGTTCTGGTAGGTTTTGTAGCCAATGGCTATCCCATCGGACTAGACACCAGATTGAACAAATCATGACGCTCAGGCCCACCCTGCGTGTAAGCAAACATCCATAGCGACTACCAGCCACGCGTCAACCGTGGTCCGCACGCAAAACATCACCCGGCTTCTCCAACCATCCGAAGATACATACCCAGTATCAAACGCGCTCGACCAGTTATCCCGGTGTGGGCTGGGGGGGGGGTTGGGAAAATGGGCTGATCTATCACGAAAATCTCTGCATGCATTGCGGGCCGAGACCAGTCGCGCCTGGTACGTGTGCGCGGTTAACGGTAAAACTAGCGTCTTTAGTGATGCGAAGTTGCTGTCCGTGTAGTCGTCTTGAGTGGCTGCCGTTCGCATCCTGCGAACCATGGTACACGCACACGCCATGTTGCCCCCTAACCAAACCATCGCATCAGCTTGAACGAACTGGATGCCCACATCTCAGTGTCACTAATTACGTCCTTGCGCTTGCAAACCCCCGCATCCGACGCGGTGCTTATTGAGAAGGGTGAACCACCGATACTGGGCGCTTGGTTCGACTTACAACGAACTAGCAACTTGGACGTGCGACTCTCGTGTATCGGACCCGGTGCGTTTCTCGATGGGTACCAGACGTATGACGTTGTGGATGTTACGGAGTATCAGCATCATGGAGTATTGGGGACATGTGGTACAATACGTATAGATTTGCATGGCATGGGGAGCAGGGCTTTTTGCGGGGTCCTTTTTTTGGCTCTCGGGAAAAAATACATCCTCGGCTCTACTTTACGCAGTGCCATTATTTCGTTCTCGCGACTCGTATTGTCGACGTTAATATGGTCATCAGAATTAAGCCGGCTTTTTCCGTTGCGTTGCAAAGAAAAAACCCCGAGAAGCAAAAAAAGAAGAAGGGTTTGAAAAAAAAAAAGTTTCTGTTCCCATTAAATTTTCCCCACTCCGAATCAAACAAAGCTAGTAAAAATGTTCGGCTGGGAGGGGAGTGAGGGAAGAAAACAATAGATCGAGATTTAAAATGACAGATGGGTTAGACAATAAAGTCTGTATCTCCAAACCCTGAAGAAAAAAACATCTCACGTGCGCTATTATTGTTTTGCTTTGGGAGACACACGACACAAACTGTATGTACTTACTTCAAATGTACTGGGGGGGTAAAGGCAAGAAAGAAACAAGTCGCCAAGCCTCGTTTCGTTTCCGATTGTACCGTAGTATCTAGCAAGCCCTCTCCCCCCCCCTTCCCTTCCCTAGTATTACCCAAGAAAAAAACCCTAGGCAAATCTAGGGCCCTGCGAACACATGATGCACATGAAACACTGGTTGTCGCAAAATCTACACACACACACACACACACACACACACACACACACACACACACACAGAATCCGCGATTTTGTTTATAGGAATGAACGGGGGAACTTGTGTAGAAGTAAATTAGGGGGGAGAGAGCAGCGGGCGCACCCTTCCTTCCTTCGCCCCGTCTTACATTCTGGCGCCCGCCTTTTTTACCACTTAGTACTTACATACTCTTACTACTTTACTTTACACAGCGATAATCTGCCGAGTAATTGACGTGCGTCGTTGCGGCCCGGCTTTGCATTTACTTACCAAAATGGAGCGAAAGAACGTATATAGTTTCGGTTTACTATGTCACGTTTTTTTAAACGCTTTTTTGCCTTGCATGGGGGAGGGGGAAGGGGGTGAGTGTGGGTGAGTGTGGGTGAGTATGGGTGAGTATGGGTGAGTGGGTGACCCTGCATTTTTTTGTTTAAAAAAGCCACACACCTACATATACATATACGAAAGCTTAGTTTGAGTGTTTGGCGAGGTGGAGGGAGGGAGCGGGATGGGCTGGGATTGGATTGGAGGGGAAGGGGTTGCAAGGGGGGAGCTTCTTCGGTCAGCGAGGTGTGTGAAAAGTTGAACCTGCATTTGGGATTGTCCCCCGTTTTTACCCTTTTTCTTTCTTTCGGTCAAATTTTCCTTTGCGTAGCCCTGTTCGTGATGATGCTTGTAATACTTGCTTGTCGCGGATCTTACTGTCATTTGCGGAGCGGCACGTTGAACAAGGGTTGTTGTTGGGGAGGGGTGAGGGGGAATTAGGTTGGCCTGTATTTTTTTGTTTGCTAGGGGGGGCTGTTGGCGGCGGCCGGCTGATTTAAAACGGCGAACAGAATATGGTAAGAAGATGTATGGACTGAACGACGGACGAACTGATATGATCACGTGCGGCGGGTATGATTTGAGATTTGGGGAAGGTTGAGCGTGCGTAGCGGATTACAGTGGAATAGATTTGTACAACTAGTAAGATTATTGTTCGCGATGGAGTTTATTTCACGTGTTGTTGAGTTGAATCTGCAAGCGTGGTAGATGCAACGTTGCAATTGCTTGTGCAAGAGTTGTTTTGTAAATGTGTCTTTTTTTTCGTATAGGTTGTAGAGACGTGGTACACGTGTCGGAGATTTATGACTGAATCGATGTATCTGGTACAGACAAGTGACAGACAATCAGTCTAGTAGGAGACATGAGGTAAATGGGGACATGAGCAGCAAGAACGAATAGCAAGACGTGTGATACCAATTCACCTCGTCCTGTCTCTTGAGGTATTAATCGATTGAGTCATATGTTAGCTGGGTCTTTTCCTTGTTGAAATATGTCTTATAAATAGGCAGACGAATATACAGTGGTGATGCTGGCAGATTAGCAGCTATATCTACTGTGCTTCCATTTGTGCTATGTAGTCTAAGCGAAAGGAATGTAGCGAATGAGCAACTGCCAGTATGTAAAAGATACAATTAGATTATTGAAGTAGTGTTAGTCATTCTGAAGATGTGGTTACAGTGTAGTATATATAAGAATCGATAATAGCTGACCAGTGAACTTACTTCCAGTTACTTTCACCTTTAAACCCCTAAAGAAGCACTTTCTAGTAAAACGATGACAATTTGGTCTCCTATAGTGAATAAAATCTAGATTAGTATCAAGAGCTTGACGAATGCAATGTAGTGAATTACGCTCAAGTGTTCACTAATAGGGCGAACCAAAGACTTGAAGAGAGATTACAACCAAACTCCTATAAACAATACAGCTGCCTTCAAGACAAAATACTCCCTCAAATCAAACTTTGGTTCTCCGACAGCCGACATCAGAATCATTTAAATACAGGCCCATCTCCCTCTGTCTTCCTCAGGCAGTCGTGAACATCTTCATCACACATCATCATCTTGACCAAGTCTTTCTTCATCACCACATCATCACCAGCGGTCAAAAAGCATCATCACCATCATCATAATCACCATGCCTTCCTTCACCCTCTTCCCAAAGCTCCCAAAGGAGCTCCGCGAGCAAATCTGGCTGAAAAGCCTCCCCACCACCAGCACCGTCGAGTTCAACGAAGCAGAATTCGACGTCACTTCCATCTCTCCTCCACTCCCCCATCTCCTCACCTCAAAGGAAGCGCAGGCCACAGCGCTCTCCTCTCTCTCTCCAACCCCTTACCCCATATGGGGTCCGTCAGACTGGGAAACCCTCCTGCTCGACGGCGAAAAGATGACTTTACAAGTCATCATCGACGCATCAAAATCCGCTTCATTAACTATCACATGGACGGACGTTTGGAGCGTGCTGGGAGATGCGCTGCTGGCGGCGCGGTCGCTTCATTTTGTGTGTCGGGAGCCGGAGCGGTTGGCTCGGCTGTTTATGCTAGAGGAGAAGGAGTGGCTTGGTGTGGGCCAGGCGTGTAACGAAAGGGGGTTGTTTATGAATGAGGAGAATGTCGCCGGGGAGAGGGCGACGAGAGAGGCGTTGTGGAAGGAGGTGACAGTCACTGCTAGTAAGCATACTGTGGAGGAGGTTGAAGCGGGGTTGGGAAGAGGTGAGGTACATGTGTGGAAGTTGGGAGAGGAGAGGTTTTCGAGGGGGTTTGGGGAGAAGAGTGAGGTGGTGAAGACGAGGGGGTTTGAGAGGGTGGAGGTGGAGGGGGCCGAAAGGGCCTCGGTGGTGCAGCTTCATCATGCCGCGAAGGCTTTTGAGCCACGTGGTGGAATGGAGTTGGAGGAGGGAGAGGAGGAGGAGGAGGCGATGCCGAGGTCAGTAGAACTGACTGAGGACGCAATCGCGAGGCACTTGGAGGAGTGCGAGAGGATTTGGCCCCCCGAGCCAAAGGATCCTGGGATGGAGGAAGGGAGCATATCATATCCCGATAATGCTGCCGTTGAGAAGTGGCTTGGATAGCCATGGGACGTTTTTTTCTCAGCGCTGGCGCCAGTTTGGAGGTATATCAATTCAGTATCTTTTAGACTTCAATAATGTGTGTATTTTTTGTGATAAACATCTCTTTCGTGATGAATAATTGTGCTATCTACACTATAGGATTGTAGTATTTGAATTTGTTCTCTGGGTCCCACTCACTCTTCAATTTAGCTAGCCTCTCAAGTCTAGCATTGTATCCATACACCTCGGGCTTTGACTCGTCTCCACTTGCATAGTTGACGTAGCAGTGTCGCTTCTTGCTACTATCTTCGTCGACGCCCCTGTAAAGAGCATTGCGCATTGCATGTATATGACTCTCAGCAACCTTTGTTGTTTCCTTGTCTTCACCAGCCCACCAAATCACTGCGCTCGCAAGGATGGGTAGTTCGCGCTCCTCAGGCGCCAAAGCAGTTGAGTCGGGGTCAATAGCGCGTACTCCCTGCATTCCGTAGTTCTCCATAAGCGTGATGGAAGTATTGAAACGGGGATCAGCTGTGTATTCTCCGAATATCGTAAAGGCTTTGCGAACACCCTGGATGTCCCAAGCAGGCAATGAAACACCAGCTCCTAGAACGTTTTCATTCGGTGTACAGGCTTGACTGGTGAGATTGTTTCCAGTCACTGTATATAGCTCGACATAGTTAACAATATCGACCTTGGTAAAGATCGGGCCAAGAGCTATGAAACGTGCAGCATATGGCTCAGCCTGTGCTTGTGAACCCTCATATGCGATAGTGTATAAGACAACAGGCTTAGGAGCAGTTAGCTACGTTATCTTCATAATATTAGAATATAACCTACGTTGATTGGGTCGACAGCGGGAAGTCTTATAAACACTCCGGTTAGTGCCAGTTTTGCCGGACGCTCCGTTGAATCCTCAAAGTCGTTGATTAAACTGAATAACGCCTCAACTTTCTCCGATGAGAAAATCAGAGTATAAACCGTCCAGTCGGATGGGACATCGTAAGTCTTTACTTCAAGGCTAGTAACGATGCCAAAGTTGTGACCGGCTCCTTGCAGTGCCCAGAATAGGTCGGCATTCTTGGTTCGAGAGGCTTCAACAACTTCGCTATTGGCTAGGACTACTCGTGCAGAAACAAGACCATCGACAGAGTAGCCATATTGACCTTGGAGTAGGCTGTGGCCGCCCCCTAATAATGGACCTGCTACTGAAACACAATTCGAAAGTCCAGTGACTATCAGCAGTTTTCGATTAGCTTACCAAACCACTTGACCAAAATATCAAAACACTGGATTATACCTACCGGCGTATTTGCCCAAGGCGAATAGAGAACGGGTTATCTCGTACTGCTTTGTACCACCGCCAACTATTGCCGTCTTTCCATCCTCGCTGAGCGTCGTGGTATTGATCTTTCTCATGTTGATTTGAATGCCATATGGTAGCTCATTCAGCGTCGTAGTCCACCCGTGCCCACCAGAGATAGCCAAGAACGGGACATTGAACCGATTAGCAAGGGAAACTATTGTCTGCACATCGGTTTCGGTTGCTACTTCGACGACTACATTGTAGTTTGGGGAAATGCGTGGAGAAGACCCGCGAATTTGTAAATCGTCCCAGCGCGCATCCCAAGGGAACGTGATAACAGCATCCTTCGATAGTAGTGGGTGCAACTCTAAGACAACTTGCTTCAGATCATCCGAATTTGCCAATGACCTATGCACGGCGCA